ACGGGTCACCTTTTCACCCGGGCTCGACGTGGCTCCAACGCTGATATGCAGCTTTGCGGACCTCCAAGGTGGCTCGCCAAAGACAAAACCATTGCCGTTGAACGAATCAGACCGGGGCAACACTCCGGACACGCCATCGAACTCTAGATCTGACACTCCCACATGACTAAGATGTCGAAGGAGGAAACAATACCTGCCCTCTATGAACCACAAGCCCAGCACACGTTCCATCTTCTAGATGTCGTCGATGCAGACCACAATCTGCATCTGCTCCTCGACTACCACACAAGCTCCAGGCCGACGTTGGAGCAGACGCCGTCGCAACGGCGGAGCCCAAGGACACATGTCCACCACAAGGATGCGACCGTCGCCACGACATCCCCGCTTGAACAGGCTGGTTCCTAGATCCTTCACCGACCATAGAGACGATCGCCTCACCGAAGAAGAATCCGAAGCTTCTTTATTCAGCATCGCCGTCGCCTCCGTCGAAGCCAAGACGTCGAACGATTCAAAACCCTAAACTTCTTGGGCCCTAAAAACCTAAAGCTAAAACGATCCACATGCGCGGGATCCTGCGACCCCCTCACCACCGACGACCAAAAGGTCGCCGGTGGAGGAGAGCCGTCGGAAGATGGCGCCGGAAGGAGCGGCTCTACTGGTGGCGGCGGCTAGGTTTCGCTACTAGAGTAGTTGTGGAAGATCTTGTTGTACTCCGACAGCAGTGATCTACCGTATATAATCACCGCGGACGCTGAAGCAAACAAGCAAAATATACTTATAACCTACATATATGGCGATCCATCCCCGTTCCATCTTTCTATTCTGCAGATATATACATACATCAACGAGACATAAAAATGTGGTCACTGGCTCACTGCAACGCGGACACGTACTCCAACTCGTCAACCTGTGATACCACCATGCATTGCATGCTACGCTTTGCTTTGCTCTGTCTGGTCCAGTCCGGTAGTAAAAGCGGCCGTGAGCATTCAGGCTCGGCACATGCCTGCGATCGAGAGGTTTAAGGTGGCATTCATCGAGGGAGCTGGCCTGGCCGGACCACATAACATAATTTACGGACGTGCTCATCCCACACACACACCTGCAGGCTTGCAGCAGCATGCGCGCGGTGTCATTTAATCTGGCCAGCAAGTTCTCAGTGCTGCCTGCTGAATGCTGATCATTGTGCTGATGCTGCAGATGGCGATCAAAGCTGCTAGTACGAAAAAGGCTTCTGCTAAATGCATATGCTGCGGTTGCCCTCTTTGTGGATCTTGACAGAGGACCTGGCTGGATCCACACCAGAGCTGGTGGTGGTTGAATTTCCAGCTGCAGCGGCCGCTTCGACCCCGGCTCTGCCTTTCTCTCTGCCAGAGGAAGGCAACCCGGCCGGGAAGGGAAGGAAACCCTCCGTGCGTCGCCTACGATGGATTGGAGTCCAGTCTTGAGTAGAGCTAGCTAGTACAGCCTACGTGCCCAATGGCATTGCTCTCGCAGGAAGCAATTCGGGGGCGCCCAAGCTGTTAACCCGGAGAGCTTTCTTGGTATTTGGTTCGCGGGAACCAAGAAACGAAGGATTCCAACGGATTTTTGTCTACTGTATGCAAGACATGACTAATGATCTCGATCCATCCTCTTTCCCTCTCTTTGTTCCCTCGATTCATGATTGCATGATTCTTTTCCCGGATCGAGTAGCAGCCTTCACTTTTCCTTTTCTTTTTTTCTAATCTCCTTTCTGTCCTAATGCTGACACTTAAACTCATCTTCGATCATAATAAAGCAATGTTCAGGGGGTGGAATAAACTACTCCCACGGAGGGAGCAGTTCTTGTGCATGCGTGTGATCTATTTCTCTCATCATCCATGATTTAGGATTTGTATGAATGACTGAAAGTGACTCTTTCGTACAGACAGACACAGACCCACTGCTCCAAGGAGCAAATTAACAAGTACGTACTATGCAGGACCTACATTTGGCCAAGCGCCACTCGTGTTATCTCCATTCGATCTATGTACAGATTACAAAGATCCCTAGGGACGGGCATCGGGGCGGCCATCACAGCACCAAATCGGATCAACGAAAACAAGGAGCAAAAACAGATAAGAAATACGCGCGCATCGGCGAGAGCGATGGGCAACCATGCATGCACGACGAGATAAAAGAAAGGGATGGGGAGGATCAAGGACGAGTCAGCGGCGGGCCGGCTTGTCGGCGGCGGCACAGTGGAGGGCGTGGGGCGCGTGGGGGCGCCCGTCGTCGAAGTTCTTGGCGTAGCTGACGGCGTCGTAGCCGAAGGTGCTGGGCCTGGAGGGCGGCGCCGGGGAGCTGCAGATGCACCGGGTCTCCTGCGCCAGCCGCCGCAGCAGCTTGCGCCAGGCCCGGTGCCCGCACCAGCCCACGCCCGGGATGGCGTCGCGCGCCGCCACCTGCAGGCGCCGCACCACGACGGCGGCGCGGTGCCGGCCGCCGGGGCCGGGCGGCGACCACGAGGGGGACGGCATGCACGCCGACATGCTGACGGGGCGGTGCGGTGGCGCGGACGACGGCTCAGTGGCGCCCATGCCCGTGATGGCGTGCTGTACCGCGGGGGAGTGTGGGGGGTGGTGGTGCGGATGGGAATGGGGAGGATCTCCTGGCAGTTATAATGGTCAGTGGCATGCCCTGCTGGGACGAGAGGGATGGTATTTTTGTGGATGTGTGGGGCGGACTGGTGGTAGAGAGAGTGCTGGGAGAGGTTAATTTTTTTGTGGTGGTTGCATGCATGCGATGGCCGATGCTATTTTTAGTTGGGCGGGTTCTGTGGCGGTTATTAGCGGTTACTTAGATGCATGCGGGCTTGATTTAGGATGAGAACGATTCTTGTGGAGCTTTATGCTCCGTACCAAAGCTTTTTTGGGTGTGATTTTATGTTAATATTTTATTGCCATCTCAGTAAGTGTAATGTTTCATTTTGATGCATGTTGGAGCTTACTATTTAGTTATCGGGTATGGCCCTACTTGTAGTGAATCAAAAAGTAAATATTCAAACAACCAAGTTTACCTTCCTAAAAAAACTCAGTTTATCCAACGCAAGCTGCAGTGCGTGGGTCCCGACGGAACTCAGTTTAGATGTTTGTTCCTATCAAAACTGGCCACCTTTTGACAATTACTCCCTCCGTCACATAATATAAGACACTTTTTACACTACACTAGTATTAAAAAACTCTTAATTATGAAAGAGAGGGAGTAGTTATTTCTTTTCAAACACCTATCTGCATCGTTAAGACCAAATTCGAAGGTGGTGCTTCATCATCCTGTTTAAATAAAACAAAATTAATTTTTTTTTCCTCGGCAGGAGTGAGCCGAGCAGAAGAGCAGTAGAATCCTACGTGAGCCAGCCAACACATCACGTGGACTGCGCGCGCCAAACCCATCGATCAGCGACACCATTCAAAGCAAGTGTCAACACGCGAACCTACGAAGAAGAAATGCCCCCGGAAATCCTCGATCCTGGAATCTCCACGACATACTCCCTCCATTTCAAATTTCTCGTCGTAAAAATGGATGTATCTAGAAGTAAAATACATCTATACATGCGACAAGTAATTCGGAACGGAGACAGATGGATATATCTAGAACTAAAATACATCTATACATGCGACAAGTAATTCAGAACGGAGGGAGTATCTGTCTGGGATTCCGCGGCGTCCAAGCGAGTAGTTGGTTCGCTCCATGCATCACGCATTCACGCATGATTTTAAGGCCAGCCACAGGTGGCAGTGGCGGTGTGGTAACGGAAACCTGTCGAGAGCTGTCGGGGGTAGCTAACAACTGTCAGATATAGCTGAATAGGAAGGAGCATTGCACTGCTCAGAAAAAAAAGGAAGGAGCATTGCAGGCCGAATAGACAAATCTTGTTGACCCTTGCAAATGGCGGAGAAACCATACTCAAAATGCCGTTACCATGAATGCATTGGAGGATGACACAGCGTGCCATTCTTACTTTCCAACACTGGAATGCTGCTAATCTGTCATCATGGAGGGAAGTCCCATCTCACTATCTCCAGCTGAAGACAGCGCATCTTTGTACCCGCGATACCAATGCTCCATGTGATTGTCTACTGTGGTAAGAGATATATAGTATATGTAACCACTTTGGTCTGCAAAGACTGCATTTCAGACCAAAAAATGGATCAAGGACCCAGGACCTATGCCACGTTGTAACTTCTTCTCTTATCTGAGCCATGCTGAGCGAAAATGTCAATATTTAAAACCTGCATCCCATCAAATATCAGGTTTCTCAGCATTCGAGCGTCTCTTGTCTTTTGTCTTTCTCTCCTCTATTAAGCCGAGCCCCATGGCGGCCTTCAAAAGTTTGTAGTACTATTTAGCTTCCCGTCAACATTTAATCCCATCGTGAGCCTGCATTGCAACATTGCACACTTGCATCCAGACACACACTGACAGACTCGTCCAGGGGTGGTCCATCATCTATAACTGCAGCAATCCAAGGAACGCAATTATTTTAGCACCAACTTTACATTTCCAAGCTAGTCACATCACAGCACAAGTGCAGATATCTAGCAGGAAAAAAAAATCTCTTTTGATGCTCGATTTCAGTTTCCAGGACAGAACTCACCAGCTAACCGAACCAACAACACATCATTAAACAGAAGATTTTGGGAAGACATAACAGCCTGACCGCCAAACCATGAAGAGCGCGGTCATTTCTATGCCTATTTACATTTGTTACTGATCCAGGCCTTGCCCGACCAAAGCTCTAATGGATAAACACACGATGCGCAATACTTGGGCGGGAACCTTGCTACATCCACAGGTAAAATTCCATTGTTTCCAAACTAAAGCTACCTTAGAGTAGGAATTACAGACCCCATCTTGTACCGGCCAGTCGTCAGAATGGTAGTAGATGCCAGTATGTCACTGATGTGTTGGTAAAAGTCCCAGCGCATCAAGTATGCTGGAAAAGTCTCAGCATTACCTTACTTGTTTTTCTCTTCAGGTTAAATTGGGCTTGACTTGAGGGCCTACAGTTCCAGAAATATTTTAAATCTAGCTCCTGTAGTACCATCGGTATTTGTAGTTTTAAATAGTTTGACCTGACAAACATAACATTTCGAATACCTTGTTAGAGGATGTAACAGCAGCTCTCCACTGTGGATCCTGTGTAGGGGATGGTCTGTCCCTGAACAAGGTAACCACTCTCGATTGGGTGGGCCTTTCCACTGTTGGTCGTTGAGGCATCTCTCTCATGACCCATAAAACAAATCCTGATGGCACCGATGAGCCTACAGAAAGTTTGCATTAGCAGAGCAATTCCATGGAAAGTCGATAAAACTGCGAACTGGTTGTGCTTTCCTGTGAACGGAACAATCAGTCTCAAAATGTAAGACGTTTTTTGACACTATCCTAACATTAGCAGAGTTCATTAACTATACCTATTTCTGCCATTGCAGTTAAATATACCAGATAGGCAATCGTGTTTCCAATAGGTATTCACATTAGTGCACAAGTTTGATTTTTGCAGTTAAGTAGCATAGCACAAGCTAATGACGTAAAGGCAGGAACAAAATAATTTCACATGTACAACAGTGAAAAAGAAGACAAACTCTTAATGATGACTAAGCTATACCAAAATACCAAGAAAATCTTCAGATATTACCATAATTGAATCTTTATTGATCTCACAGTGGGGTCCACTAGTACAGTATAAGCACAATATTGTGATAACAAGGACTAATGACAGGCTCGGTAATCTTCTAGCATTTAAGGCTTGAATCATCAAATCAAGACCAGCTTCAAGGTGGAGGAAGCTGAGGGTCTAAGCTCTGAGGCATTAAAGGTGGTGCGCATACTTAACCTACATCTACCACCATAGTAGCATGCTTTCTTCCGGTCGCTAACTTCCAGTGTTAACTACCTAAATCACATATAAAATCCAGGTCTAGAACATATGCACAAATACCTGACGGGCAATGGCGAACTAAAGAAAATCAAATGATACTCATCCTAAATTTAGTAAAAGGCCATAGTTCCGTTTTAGTGTTATTTCCAGATATAAACAACACATCATACCTATTAAATAATATAAAAATAATATAACAGCATTTTTTATGATCTCCGCCTCAGTCGAGTACCAATACAAAAGCACCTGCAGTGACAAGTAGGAAAATTGCAAGTCAATTAACAATTTAACTCCCAGCCCATGTATAAAGACCTCTTATTGCATAATGGAACTTACTGGAATATTAGTAACAAGTGCTAGTATAGCAGAAGACGAGAAACAGATAAGTGAGACAGCAGCTAAACTGGCAACCTGCAGAGAAGTAAGCCTTGAGAATTTCACATGGAGAAGCATGTTAAAGAATGTTAAAAAAGATACAGTTTATTTATAAATATCCTGCATTTTCTTAAAAAGGTAGGTAAGTCTAAACGACCCCCTGAACTATGGAGGTGTGTCTAGTTCACCCCCTGAACTATAGAACTATCTAACTAGCACCCTAAACTTGTCGTTTCCATCTACTTAACACCCTTGTCTGGTTTTGCAGAGTGCAGTTGCACATGTGGCTCATGAGTAGTGACCAAAGGGGATTGTGGTATTATTAACGGGTCCCACATATCAGTGCTATAAAAATTCCTCTATTTTTTCACCATCATTTTCCTTCTTCCTCGTCCTTATCTGTCAGCACATCTATCCTCAACGTCTTTCCCTACATCCTGGAGGTGGTGCTGGACGGAGGAAGCAGATCCATCCCGCCTGCACTATAACCCTTTCTCCTCCGTATCCAGCTTCGCCTTTACAACCCTCTCCCTCGCTCACACTTTCTCCTCTTTATTCCCACCTCCCAGAAACCCCTACACCCAAACCACCACCCGAATATGGAGGTGTGCCTTCATTCCCCTCGTCCTTCTATGTCAGCACATCTATTCTCAACGTCTTCAGCTGCATCCTGGAGGAGTCGCTGGACGGATGAAGCAGATCCATCCTGTCTGCACTATAACCCTTCCTCCTACGGTATCCTATCCAGCTTTGCCTTTACACCCTCTCCCACGCTGACACTTTCTCCTCTTTATTCCCACCTCCCAAAAAACCGAACACCCAAACCACCACCCGAACATGGAGGTGTGTGCTTCATTCCCCAGCCATGGAGATGCCAACGGTGGACGCAGCGCTGCTCCACCCTGCAGTCACCTCCCAGTGTGTTGGCCTCGGGAACGCTAATCCCCAATGGCTCCGTTGAAACGGGATTGGGCATCCGGTGGGTGTGTACCGAGGGTGGCGGCAACAGCGTTCATCGGAGCCGAGGACTGCAGCAGGAGGCTCCTGCAACACCGCTGCAGGATCACGGGGCTGGAGGCAGGAGCTCACCCGAGGACCAAATCCTTGCAAAAGTTGAGCTATTCTTTGCTCCCATTCAAATTGAAGTGCACACGAGCTTCTCCTTGTCTATAAGCGCAGAAACTCTCTCCAGCCTATGCTAATCCATGCCCAAAGCTCGCCGTTTTCATGCCATGGAGCTGTGATCAGAGATGACAATGTGCCCCTCTGCTCCAAGCACCGTCTCGACGCCTGCAGGGTGCAGCTCTTGCATACTTGAATAGCGCTGACACCATGAGGTCGCCAACAAGACTTCGTCTCGCTCTCGTGGCGGGACAGTTGACAGCTAGGGAACTAGTCAGAGGAGGAGGCCGGAAGGAGCTGCTGCCTGCTGGGTGGGCTGTGCTGATGGTGAATCGCGGATGAGCAGACTGAGTTGTTGGACGGACACAGTAAATGGGGAATGATGAAGAAAAAAAGAATATGAGGGAGTGGCACTGGTACATGGGCTCTGTTTAGATCACACACCATGCACCTAGTACCACTTCTAAAAAAACAGCTTAGGGGGTTAAGCGCGTGGTTTTTGGATAGTTAGGGTGAGGTGTACCCTTACACAGTTTTGTATAATTCTAATCTAATCCTAATAACCAAAGAAAAAGAGGATAACCACATGTAGAGTGGTCTCAAGGGAAATGTACCTTCCACTTCTCAGTTGACACGGTTTCAGAACGTACTTTGCTCATCTTCGAGAACAATAATGCACCTTCACAAGATGATCACAGAACCAAGATGGCAAAGCCAAGGTGAGAACATGTTAAGAACCGAAGCCTCACTCCTTAATTCATGATAAGATGACATCATCTAATATTAGTACCAAATGAATGGGCATAAAAATTAGCAAGATGGGCAATGAACTAACAACAAACTAAATTAGAACTATAAACTTGATCTACTGGGATAAATACAGGACAATGGAATGAAGATAGTCTTAGGTTGAAAATTTCATGATTGGTATCTAGGGAAAATTTTGACATGTTCTACATGTAGACAATATTATATGCTTACCATAACATGACAAAGCAGCGCCAAGTACTAGAACAACTACTGAAAATACATCCAAATAAACCTGCAAAATAAAATGTTTGGCTAACGTCTATAAAGCAAGCAAGTTAAAACTAAATAAGCGAAATCCTAAATCCAATCAGCTAGTGGCAAAATATTAATATAAAGTGTGATAAACATAAGAAAACATGCAAGTCGATATTTTTTCCCAGAACTGATACAGTGGACACCTTGTGATAGACTCTCCTAGTACTAGCATGGAAGTTGAGACATAATACAAACAGAATACTGAGATTTTGTAACTCAAGGAAAAGAAAAAAGAAGAACTAGCACCATCTCTAACGATATATAATGTTTGGTACTTTGGTCTGCAGACTTTCCCATTATTCTGCATTTCCCATGGTAGGTTTAGCAATACTCTAGTTTGACAAGGAAAATAAAAGAATTAAACTGTACGCTCGTGATTTAACAAAATGGCCTCCTGAAATCAATAGAAATTTGGTAAAGAAAATGATAATGCAATTTGTGCATACCCCAACATAGAGTAGATGCAGTTTGTGTAGCGCAATGACATTGACTTCGCAGTGTTGATACATAAAAGTTTCGGAATTCATTTGAGATAAATATGCTAGTTTTCCTCAGTTGACAAAAAAGAAGAATGATACAGTTCAAAATAGCTGCAGCAAGTGCATGGGTCCATAGGCAGCTGGATATAGAACCAAAAGGTAGTATACAGGGAATAGAAGATTTGTCTAGAATGGATCAGAAGCAAGACTAGCTAGATTTCTACTCCCTCCGTTCTGATTTACTCGTCGTGGTTTTAGTTCATAGCTAGATTTCTACTCCCTCCGTTCCGATTTACTCGTCGTGGTTTTAGTTCAAATTTTAACTAAAACCACGACGAGTAAATCAGAACGGAGGGAGTAGATATGAGCTTTCTGTTTTCCTTTTTCTAATGGAATATTTTGCGTGTTTTTGACAAGCTTATCATTCTTTATCACAAGGCTGTTGGATGTGGGACTTTATGCTCCCGGGTGGAGATTAGGAATCTAGCTTTATACAGTATTATAATTACCGGGCTCTGCAAGATTTCTCCTTTTCGTGCAGTATTGCAACAGATTGAGGATTTAAACTTTGAAAAGTTAAGATTTGTATGTCAATTAGAGCAAAATGCAGCGTCGAAGAAGAACCAAAACAGGATACAATAAGTTGCTGATCCTTCATACCTTTTTCAGTAGTGATGAATCAATAGGATTTTCTCCCCTACCAACCCAGATGAGGATGGCAAAGGCAAGCATAACAATAAATGACAGTACAAGCACCTGCAAGGAAAATAATATTAGGCCAGTAAATGGTTCTGCATAACAGATACTATATCATAGCAGAAGCATTATACTCCAACCACTGCTGAAAAGTTAAGATCACTAAAGTAGTGATCTAAACACTCTTATATTTCTTTACGGAGGGAGTACAGATTAGATGACAAACTGGGAAATTCTCCAACCACTGCGATCTATAAATAAAAAGGCACACACACTAGAAATATGCAGATCTGTATTAGCGAGAGGAGAAAAAAGGCATGGCGAAGTAGCCAATAAGTTATAATGATGGAAAGAACTTACCAAAATCACAAATTTTTGCCGGCTTCCAAGCTGTATTCCTGGGAAACACTTCCGACGGGCATCAGTAGGGCGGGTGCCAGGTTTGGTTTTTGTTCTGTCTAGTAAAGCTTCTTGGTGACTCCTTACATCATCTTCATCTTCATCATTTGTCTGATGACACAGGTCAACCCTGTAAGACCATTACTTTAGAAACATAAAGCGAAAAGCATTTGCAGCTGTAAATACATAAAAATAGAAGCAGGAAAGTGCAACATGAAGACTTCATCACACCACCAGGAAACTTCACTATCGAGGAGAATAAAGGAAACTATGAAAGGGTTTGTGTTGTCTTGCAAGCAAAATAACATGATCTTTAGAAGCATCATCAGAATATAAAAGCGGTTGTACTCATGTGTGCCAATGCACAAAGACAGCCTCCTGACAGGGGGTTACCCATTGGCAATAGAGAGGATTGTATCAGAATTGTTACTTATTGGAAATGACCAAGTGACAAAATAGAGAAAGATGCTGCTTATTTAACTTGAAACAGAGCTGGAGGAAAAACTTATACAAGTGTGGGACTCAGTGTGAGACATTAATCCTGTTGGTGCACCTACACCACTCATCGGTGTTGAAGGCCTCAAGGTGATGGGTTTCCAGTGGCGAGTGATATTTTGTATTGATGAGATGTGCTACAACATACAAACGAGTTTAAAGTGGTATTTATGTGACTTTGACCTGTACAAAGGACGAGAGTACACCCAAGTGAAGTAAATGAAGCAAGAGTAACAATGTCTTCTATATCAATGACAGACGGTCACTTGGTACCACACTGGGAGGTATATCATATATATGATCTAGGATCAGCCCCGCAACCTTGAGTGAGTTGAAGTTAGTGAAGCCCAAACCATGCCTAGTATCTCCATCTAGTCTGTATAGTATATGAAGAAGCTTTTTTGCATAACACAACTTTAACAAAAGAAAAAGGAGAAAGGAAGATGAGGCGTCGTATTTTACGCATTTTAATGTTTCTTCAATGGCATTTAAATGCGGATATGGCTGGCCAAAAGTCTTATGGATTATACATATGATGCATCTATTGCCAAGAAACTCTCGATATGGGACGTAGGCTCTCTGCTCATCCAACTAATGAGTCGTGATTAAAAACATAGATCACGATAAACAGAGATAGGTATCCAATGGTCCTCCAATGGCACAAATAAGAGATGACTCAAAGTCCCACGTTTGCCATGAAATGTACTCCCTCCGTTCCTAAATACAAGTCTTTTTAGAGATTCCAATGCGGACTACATACGGAGCAAAATGAGTGAATCTACACTCTAAAATAGGTCTATATACATCCGTATGTAATCCGTACTGAAATATGTAGAAAGACTTATATTTAGGAACGGAGGAAGTACCTGGTTGTGTGAAAGCGCAAGGTCAGATAACCTACGCTGGTACTAAGAAATTATACCACATGTACTTAAGTGTGAAAGGATCGTTCTTTTAAGCAATATTGGTTATCAACTCTGAGTTAAGA